ATTGAACAGACAAGTCTGTGAAGAAATAGCGAGGCACAGATATGCAAGTCAAATCGGCAAGGAGGGAAAACTGATGGTGAGGAAAAGAGGGGCACTAAAGATGACCAGACAGAGAGGAATAAAAAAACAAAAGCAGGAGTGGCATGGCTATTTGAGAAAATATGGAGAGAAGATGCAGCAGGGCCTCTGGGGGAAAAAAAGAAAAAAAAAATCAAACTGGACAAGCAAAGCCTGCAGAGGACTGGATTAAAAATACGAGTCAGGAAGAAAAGCAGGGCAAAAATGAAGGAGAAAGACTGGATATAATTTGCATTCAAAAAAGTTATTTACTCTGTGATGTTAACACAAGTATGTGCAGGTAAATATAGATTTTACTTAGAAAACTTCTTACTATTCAGAAAATAATCTTGGTTTTCGAGAAGTTAAAAGAAGTCATAGAAGTTAAAAAAAAAAAGTCATAGAATCACAGAATGCTTTAGGTTGGAACCACTAGACCAGGCTGCTCAAAGCCCCATCCAGCCTGGCCTTGAATGCTTCTAGGGATGCGGCATCCACAGCTTCCCTGGGCAACCTGTTCCAGTGCCTCACCACCCTCAGAGTGAAAAACTTCTTCCTGATATCTAATCTAAATCCCCTCTCTTCCAGTTTGAAGCCATTACCCCTTGTCCGATCACTACATGGCCTTGTAAAAGGTCCCTCTCCAACTTTCTTCTAGATCCCCTTCAGATACCATCACTCCCCACCTTCAATTTTACTATGGCATTGTAAATTAAGCTTTCAAGAAACACCAGGCAATCACACCATAATAAAGACTACAAAATCACTAACTTTCTCCAAAACAAGAAAATACTCACACATACAATAAACTAACTTTTCTTTCATGAATAATTCAAGTTCAACATTACTGTCCATTTAAGTACAAGTACTCAAGAACATCATGAATACTATTATTTTACTAACCCATAAAATTCATTAAGAACAAGAACAATGTACTGAAAATTCTTTATTCCATTACTTTACCCGACTCCAACATAGTTAATTTTTCTCTTGGTAATATTAAATACAGGTCTTCCAGGGATAATAATTCTCTTTGGCCAGTAATTCAGAAAAACTGTACTGTTACCTTGGCATAGAGCACTTACTTAACAAAATCTGATTTTAAATTTCTGAGAGAAAGATTCCTCCAAACCTTTCCAAGATCTTTGCTTGCAAATTCCAAGATTTCCATCTGCAAATCTGTCATCATTTTATTGGCTTCTGAAAGAAGTAATGCCTGAGACATTTGCATTACTTCTGCTGGGTCTTGTCCCATCCAAAAGCTTAAGTATGGACAGGCACGTGAGTAATTGCTGAAATGAGTAAGTTGGAGTTAAAGAGTCTATTGATCTCACTGAAATTACTCAGACTAATGTAAAGGCAGGTACAGTACACTTCCTGCAGGTTTTGCAAGGGAAATTTAATGTATTCCTACTGACAAGTCAAGGTGTCTTTCCACTCCAGTTAAAGCAGGGATTATTCTCAGAGGCAGACCACGTCCCAAGTGAAACATGCCCCACTGAAAAGCTGTTACTCCATTTGTGACGGCGGCCAGCTTTATCAAATTATTTTTACACTTCTTGTGCTTCCTGAGCCCATCCTCCAGTTTCAGACAGACCTGGCGATTCTGCTCCTCACATGTAAAGCTTGATCTGTTGGAGAGAGATTCTGCTTTCAGGAGCCACAGTTCTTCCCAAGCACATATTGAAGCATCAGGAATAGAGATTTTCAACCTGTGGCTTATTATAAGAGCTAAGCACCCCTTAAAGAAAGGTCTTTGGCTAAGAGGACTTCCAGCCTCAACAATTCTGTGTAAGTCACAAAACTACTGTGTACAACAGCGAGTTAACTGACCTCACTTTAAAGGCCGTTCCACAAAAGGTGATTCAATATTTTTCTGGCAATTTTAATCAAACAGGCTACTTCTAGTCACCAATTAGCAGACAACTGTCTCTTTAGATCTTGACCTTTCATACACTTCAGATTTGTATGATGCACAGATATTACAGATATTAAAAACGCTAAAAGGGCGTATATAATGTGCCTGTAACAAAGCTTTCCATAAAACAGAATCCCTCCCTTCCACCACTCCATTTCTGGCTGTAACCTAACACACAGAGCTGAGCTAGACTTTTTATATGCTAATTATTTATAGCTGACTGTTAGGAAGTACCTTTCCAAGGCTCAGGTTTTTAGCCAATTCTATTCATTATATAGGATGTCAAATGGCAGACCATGAAGTGATTTCAAGCCACCTCTCTTATCAAATGCAGCATCATTAAAGAGGCTTTCAGTACTTTTTCAGAGTGAGGAAAGGTATAAATAAAAAATGTTTCACCTTCCAGGTGACACTTAACAGATTTCACATATAATTAGCACTTACTAAAACGACCACAGAAATCCCAAACCGAAGTTGCAAAGACTGAAAACTGTTAACACATACAAAAATGTTTTAAACAACTCTAAAAAGAGCAAACACATTTTCAGGGAGTGGTGACTGAGGAATACTTAGCATTACTAAGAGAACATAAGGAAAAAATATGTTGAAAATTTAAGTAAAAAAAATATTCCATAATATAAGAATGTAAGAGGTGGCTGTATTAGGCTGCATCAAAGGTCCCTCTAGAAGAATGTGTGGTCTCCAGAA